TACCACGGTGCGCTTTTGCACAGTTGTGTATATGTAATGGCAACCTCTGGCTACTCTGAACTAGTTGGAGGGCCCTGTGGCTGCAGTGGTTCTAACCCGGCAAATCCTTTATGTGAGGTGATAGAAACATGCAGAGGAAACATCAAGCGTCACCTGAAGTTTTTTTACTGCTTTGATTCAACTTTGAAAACGGAGGCAGATCTTCTTCTCGCTAGGGCAGGTAACATCTCAATATTTCTCACGATTTCTTATTGATCCTGTAGACGCTATCTCGTGTATAAACAATAAGATAACTCGAGAAGGTACCCAACGATGGTTACTGAATGCCACGTACATGTAGTTTTGCTTAGGTTTATTTTTCCCGAGTTAATTTCCCGCATAATAAAAGTATGAGAAAATTAGGTTGTTGACCGTAGTGACGACAGCGGATAAAGACTTACTTTAAGTTATTACAAGCTTTTTCATACGCGAGTCCCCCAAAAAGCGTTCAAGCATAATTCAAAGTTACCAAAGAAATAGTACTGGATCAAGGGAAGAGTGCCAGTGTTGTGGTAAATAAGGGTGCTTTTGCAATTGTGGCCCAGGACTTGTGGGTCTGCCTGTCACGCAATCCTTATTGGACATTTCGAGACAGCGGAGGGCAGTTCACGGCAGCGAATATACAATCTATATTTGGCGTCGATGCATGGTATCTACAAATTTAAAAGTAAATCAAATCAAAGTGTAAGTGTGGCAAACATATTTATTTTACGGTTTGTATCCGTCCTTGGCCGTTTCGAACTGGACGATGTTGCGTTTTGGCTTGTTTTGTTTCGAAAATAACCGCTAAAATTTAAAATCTTAGATAACCTGAGGAGCAGAAACGATAACTGTTGATCAAAGTTAACTTTTTATTCAGATTGGGAATGATATTTTGCTCCCAAAGCGGCCTGTTGTTTTTTCCACGTACGGACTTGATTTTTCACCTCCAATTGCGTGACAAGTAATGGCGTGTTTTGACCTCTGAGTCACTTTTGTTTG